TGTAATTACTGAGTCCCTGGGACATATAAGTAGTTTTGAAAGAGTAGATCAGCATTTAAGCTGGGAGTTTCATAAGCATTTAATGATAGTATTTGTATGAAAATGAAATGGTTCGTTTTTGTTTGTTAGTCTCTAGAAAATCCCATATTTCCTACTGGTATAAGCGTAGCCTTAAATCAAGACCAATATATGTTAAAAAGTTGATGTTTTCCCATCTATGAGTAGTGGTTAGAAGTTCCAAACTTATATCACAATTGGGTTTTTCATGCATAAAGTAAATGAATTTATGTACATATAAAACCTCCATTACATCTGAAAAACCCCGTAAATCAATGTGTTTTTAATACTCTATGTGAGTTTTATAACCATGCTATTGACAAGGAATACCTATACACAACGTTCTTCAGGCGTTGGAATGTTCTGACGTTTGTCACTCCAAATGGTGTACTGTAGCTAACAGTCAGGGTGCGGGGTTGTCAATCCCATATAGATCTATACACAAACACCATGCTCCCCCTCCAAGGAATTCTTGTATATAATACAGGACTTGAAATGTGTACTCGAGTGTACGTGAAGTTTAATGTCTCACAAAACTTAGTATAAAACAGATTTACGTGTGAAAATGTTCGTTTGTTCTTGTATATGAAAGTAACTTCTTGAAATAGTATTTCCAGTATGTAAAAGTTCGTAGTATTCTCGTAAAACTATACCTATTATAGTTTTCTAAAAGTGTGTTTCGTTTGTTTTAGTAATTCCTAGTGAAAATGCTCACTTGTTATGAAAAGTATAATTTTTGTAATGCCAAAACTGGACACATATACATGTAGTATAAACAGAGTGTTTGATTTACATAAATACATAAATCATTTCTTATTTTAAAAGATAAGATGTTATCGTGGTAAAATTTGCATACGAAAGTTTTCCCTATAATAGTTATAAATCACATATGATTCCGTTGATAAAAAGCGTATAATGAAACTTTATATAACACACAATAATAATCGAGTTTTTTACTTGTATTCCCCCCCTTAAAAGCATATAAAAGTATTTATAAAACATTTAAAAGTGTGAATTATAGGAGTATGAACACACTTGAAAGATCGGAGAAGGTGGGATGAAAACCGGACAGAATTTCGACTCGAGAAAGCGGATTTTCTCGGGATTCTTGTGAATCCCGGGACTTTAGGATAGCACGGGCACGGAAAACGAGGCAAAAATGCAAGAGAGTTGAGAGGGAATGGCCCTTTTCTTCGGAACCCTCACATCCCTTTTATAGAGGGTGTGAACCGCCTCCGTACGCGGGGCGTACGCGCGTACGCTGGGCGTACCCGTGCGTCACGCATGCACGCATCCTCGACTGCTTCGGACTCCCGGATGGGACTTGACATAGCTCGCATAGGGTACGACGTGGACGATTCGAGGCCAATGCCTTGAGTACGCTGGGCGTACTTGGGCGTGACTCAGCCTTCGGATAATACCGAATTTTCAATTAAAATTTATATTTTTAATATTTAATAAACTTCAAAAATTCATATCTTCTTCATACGAACTCCGTTTTCGACGTTCTTTATATCCACGCTTAGGTGAGACTATAATCTACAACTTTCGTTTAGATTCTGTCGGAAAATTTTGAAATTATTTTTATTATATATTTTTAAAAGGTCGCGGTAAGAAAATTTCTTGAAAAATTCATAACTTCATTATCTGACGTCTTTTTTTGCCAGACTTTTTACCGTTGAAAAACCATTCTCGAGACCTTCGATTCTCATTTAGGTCATTCCGGTCAAAAGTTGCTCGATCTCTGTTTCGAGTTTTTAGTTGTCCGTTGTTAAGCCGAACTTGGAAAATTCATAACTTCCTTATACGCAGTCAGATTTTGGCGTTCTTTTTACGTACGATCACGATTTAATGACATCTAACATAATAGGTAATTTAATTAGTGATTTTTGGATAATTTATTTTCCGGAGTAAATTTCATTATAACAAACGTGGTTACAATACTTAACTTTTTAGGTCGTTTACATAGAGTTGAAATATCGGGTTGTCACAATAGGCTATTGGGAAGTGTTGTAAGTTTGCGTTGTAGTCGTAGCATTCACCAAAATGAGGTAGATCGTTGTAGGAGTGGTTGCTAGACTTAAAGGTGATCAATGCATGCCTAGGTCGAGGTGAACAGTATTTTCGGGGGATTAATCTTTGATTGGGATGCGCATCGTTGGATCCAAGGCAGGCAATGCCTATATAGAACTCGTTTGGGTGAGACCCATGGGTGAGGCTTGTTTGATTGTGCGGACTAGGTAAGACCCATGGGCGAGTCTCGTTTGGTTATGATAGAGTGGGTGAGACCCAGTGGAAATTAGATTGAGCAAGGTGTTGGACCACGTTTAGAGTGGGAAGACTCTGCGGTTAGTGGTTAGTGCATGTATGATGGTTAGACTAGAGTAGCCCTTATTAAATAGACTTTTAGTCGAAGCCTTGTGTTGGGACCAGGTGTAAGTTTGTTAGTCTTTGTGATTGATTAGGGAGTTTTCATCTCAAATCAGTGGGAGGTCACCATGGGTGTAAGTGGTTTTGGATAGACCAAATTTTAGAAATTTTGGCGGTTATCAGGATGTGAGCTTTTAGATTAGTCTGGCACTTAGGCATGAGATTGTGCAAGAGGCTGTCAGCCTCAACAAACGGTTAGGAATCCGGTATCTCGGTTAATTGGAAGATAAGTGTGATACCAGTTAGGTCTACTTTATATCAAAAATGTGATTATGGGTCAACAAGATGAGCTTGAGATGGTACCAATGATTGAGAATCGTGTTGGGAGTCGCCTTTATTTTCAAGTGAAAGGTTTATGGCATCAATGAATGATCAGGGATTCTGTTTCCCAGTGGAAATAGCAAGACAGTCTCGGGTTGGAACGGTTTACGCTGAGATTGGATTGCGAAGTGGAGTTGAATTGACAGTGATTCAAAATGATCTGTGTGTTGGGAGTCAGATAAGGTTTTAGGATTTCAGTTTCGGGCAGAGTAGGTATGGTTATTCATCAATGGTTAACGCTAGTGGGGCAAGTATCTATTCGTTGTTAGGTATGAGAGCCTTGCTAAAGCAGGGTTCGATTATAGTTTTGGAAGGTTGATGTATGTATGGATCAACATTTCAGTCCGTATCAGGGTTATGGAAGTATCATCCAAGTTTTCGGGCGTCTGGAAGGTGGTAAGGAGTGATTTTGAGGGAGAAATCTAATTTAAGTGGGGGAGACTTCTAACACTCGTGTTCTAGTATGGTTTAGTTTTTATTTTCTAGGCTTAAAGATAGTGTTTTTAGGAAAAAATATGTGACATGCTGTGGAGCAAGGATGTCATGGCATTGTATAAGTGGCACGTGTATTTTATTGAGTCGCCACGGTGTGGCAACTGATCAAGCCCAAGCCCATTACTCTTTTAGGGTTCCCTTCGTATTTAAGCCTCTTTATCTCAGTTCTTGGGTTCATTTCTCGGCCTCTATCCCCCTCAACCTCGGATAAACCCTAATCCTTTCTATCTTGGTGGTTTTGGCTCATTTTGGGTAGTTTTGGTGCTCATAGGAAGGAAGTGAGGAAGCATTGGTGCAAGGATCAAGCAAGCAACACTTTATCATCTTGGTTATGACCTTCTGGACCATTTGTAAGGATTCAATTTTCCATCTTTTGTATTATTCTCTTAGATCTAGGTTGTTTTGTCCCTTTTGGTTCTTGAGTTGATTGAGTGAATGGATGGAATAAAGTTGGCAACTTTATTGCTCTCTAGACTCCTTGAGCATCATATCTTATAGATCTGATGTTCGGTGGTTATTAGTGAATCTTGCATAAGTTTAGGTCATTTTATTGCCATTTGACCTAAGATGAGTTAAGGACATGCATGGGGCATGCATGTTCATCAAGTAATCATTTTTATGGACCTTTGGTGCTCCTTTTAACTTCTAGAAGAGTTAGGGATAAGGAATTTTTTGGATTAAGGGCTTAATGATTAAGACATTATGGATTTTGGCTTTATTTGGACCTAGGGTTTTAGATCTTGATCTCTTTGGGTGTCTTAATGAATAAAGTTGGAATTCATTTAGGCCATAGTTTGAACCAAACCTGAGATTTTGAGCTCCTAAAGTCAAGGAAGGCATTTTAATCTATTAAGCTGGTG